CCTGACTGATATGTAAAATTAAATTAAATTATAAAATAAAAAAATAAATTAATTTTAAAAAATCTCACTTGGAACTTTTCAGTTCCATAGTGATCTTAGCATCATTGTACCTGCAATCCATCATGGACTGTTATTAACTGATGACTGTGTGTATCCAGGTACTAGATACAGATATAGATGGATGCCATTCTCTATTTCTATAGGAAACCCTATCCCAGTCTATAAACTCAGCATTTGTATAGTTACAACTGTGCTTAAGTGGAGTTAATTTTATAATCTAAGAAGAATGGTCTCACCAAGGAAATTAACAGATTAAGCAGAATTGTCTAATGAGTGGGAACTGAGCATTGCTTGAATAAAGAAGGCAAGAATTTGTTACCATGCTGTCTTTGTCTCACTGTAAATAGTTCCCAGGTATGATGCTGGGATGAGGAGTAGCTAAAGCCCTGGTAGACTGTTACAAGAGTTGGGGTCTGGGTCATGTGTTCGTAAGTTCTTGGCCTCTTATTCAATAAATTGAAATAAAGGCTCACATAGATTTTATTCAGAGAAAAGCTATAGAATAGGTTGGAACACACTGCAAAAAAGCAGTACACACACACACAAAGAGCAACAGGCCACGAGTGAAGAGTCAAGAGGAGGTAGGGAGACAGTTCGGTGCAACATGGCTAAGTAGCGGGTGTTGGGTCAAACTTCAGGAGCCTGATGCCAGATAGTTTATTTTAGGCATATTTAAGCATAGCACAATATGGAAAAACGTTTTCCAGAGATAATTATTGCAATCCTATGTGCACAACAAAGCTTAAGACATGACTACATAGAAACTCTTCATAAAGTACAAGTGACATCTTCCATAAAGATAAGTTCTATAAATTGACTGAGATAATCAGGCTCAAGATAAAGGTCTAGGGAGGATCTGGTGTGGCCTAAGCCACAGGATGTCACAAGGGTCACCAGGCATTAGATATGTCAACTCCCAGCCTCTGGGCAGAAAACAGATTATACACCTCTCCCTTTGAAAAGACAACCCTGTGTGTTTAACATTCCTGGTTCCTGTAGTAATCGTCTAGGGTTGAGATCTGCTGAGCTCTCCCCTTCCATGTTAGCATGTCTATGGTGGTGTCCTTGTTCAGATGTTTAGGCAGACACTTTGGTGAAACTTCATGGGTGTATGTATCTTCTGACATTTTAAGGAGAGACAACCTCATAGCAAATTCCCTGATTCTCTGGTTCTTACAATCTTTCTGCCCCCTCTTCTGAAATGACCTTGAGCCTTAGGTGCAGGAGTTGTGTTGTAGATGTATCCATTGGGACTGTGTTCCACAACACGGCATTTTTATCAGTTGTGATTTTCTGTAATGGTCTCCATCCAAAATATTTTAAAAAGCAAAATACTCCATGCCAATTTTGTGGGCTTCAAATAGCTCATCAAAGGCCTTGCCAAGTTAGAAGGTTAGGCAGCTTACAGGTGCCTCACAAAACACCACACTGAAGAATGAGGTTTGTAAAGTCAATGAGGAACATTGCTTTTCTGGTGAAATGACCCACTGTCCCCTTGTTGTCCCTTTCTGTGTAGGTATGTGTTGGAGAAGTGACAATGAATATTCTTATTTGTTTTCCTCACATTTCCCCCCTTGCCAGGTGGGCAAAAAAGAACTTGCAACCCTCAGAGGACCTCAAGTCGGTGATGCAAAGACTGTCCGCACTAGGCCCAATTAGCTCAGTCACTCCTTGTGGACGACAAAGTGCTGTCGTGGTGTACAAAGATACGACCTCGGCTTGTAAGGCTGTGAGTGCTTTTCAGAAAATATCTGCAGGCACAATGTTCCAGTGCTCATGGCAGCATCGATTCATGTCAAAAAGGGTAAGACTTTCTACTGCCAAAAACCTGATTTAATTTTAAAATAATTTAAAAATTTTTTGAAATTATAATTACGTAATTTCCCCCCTTCCTCCATCCAATCCCTGCCTTGCACTGCTCCTCATCTCTCTCAAATTTGTGACTTCTTTCTTTACTTGTTCTCACACACACCCACACACTCTCTCAGTGTATGTGTGTGTGTGGTGTGTGAATGTATAAATACCACCTGCTCAGTCTGTATTATGTTACCTGTATGTGTATGATATCAGGGCTGACCACTTGATAATGGATAGCCAATTGGAAAGGGAAGACCATTTCTTCTCCCACTCTCAACACTCCCCAGCTGCCTATAGTCCTGTCCAGGGATGAGGCTCCATAAGCTTTTCCCTTCTACCTTAGCATGTCCATTGGTGCTCATGTCTCATTTAGGCAGCCTGGCTGATGAGACTTCCTGGGTGTAGCTTCTCTGACTACTACTAGGAGGCACAATCTCACAACAAACTTCCTTTTCTTCTGCCTTTTACAATCTTTCCATCCCCTCTTCTGCAACTCTCCCTGAGCTTTAAGTACAGAAATTGTTTTGAGGATGCTCATGTCAGCAATGGGGAGTATTACCTACTGAGTACCACATAACCTCTTGTCCTCTGCATTTTGATCAGCGGTGGTTTTCTGTGATGGTGTCTGTTGCAAAGACAACTTTCTTTGATGAGGGGTGAGAGCTCCACGTATCTATGAGTGTAAGGGTAAATATTTAGAATGTTCTCAGGAGTTATATTGGTTAGTAAGCTGGCCGTTGTAGGTTCACCTTCAATGTCTATGACTGCACTAGCCCTGGGTAGATGGCTAGGTTTCCAGTACCAGGCATGGTTTTCCTCTTGTTGAGTGGACCCTATGTCCAATCAGAGAGCTGTTAATTACTGCCAGGTATCTCTACAACTACTGTACTCTTAGTGTTATCCTGCCATGCCAGTCATTATTATGGTTCATAGGCATCACAGCTGGGTAGGAATACTGTTTGCTTACCTCTCTTGAAAGCTTTCATGGCACCTTTTGGTGCCATGATCGCTGGTCCTCAGGGAGGCAGCCTTCAGGTCACATGCAGCTTGCATCCTCTGTGCCCTGTGTCTGAAGTGCATGGTGTCTTCGGCAATAGGGACTCCCCCTCCACTTCTGGGAAACTACTGAGGGCAACCGCAATAGTGTATATATAATGTTTTGCGAGTCTCTTGGACCTCTCAAAAGGAGGTCCCTCATGCTTGCTTTTGGGGGTTTTGTCAAATAGTTTATGGCTCTTTGGTGGAGCAAGCATTGCCAGCTCAAACAGGAAAATTTCACTTAAACTATGTATCTATACCTAGACTTACAGGTATTATAGGTATTTTTAGGTAGCCACATAATAGTATGATTCCTTATGACTTTCTCAGATATCCTTTGCTATTTTACTCTCCTCTCTCCTTCTTTGGTATTTATCTTCCTCTCCCTCCTTAATTAAAGACTCCTGTCTTTTCATTCCCCCATTCAAATCACTTGTACCCTAATATGATCCCATTGTTCCCCCAATGGTCCCCTTTTACTTTCCTGGTCTCTGTCGTTACTCTAGGCTATATACTCACAGCTGAAGTCTTGGAGCTAGGAACTACAGATTAGAGAGAACATAGGATGTTTGTCTCTCTAGGTCTGTTTTTACCTCACTAAATGACCTTTTCTAGTTCCATTAATTTGCCTAAAAAGTTCATGATTTCATTTTTTCTTTATGGATGAATAGTATTCCATAGCATGTGTGTACCACATTTTCATTATCCACTGCTAGTTAAAAGACATTTAGATTGTTTTGTGACTTCAATGAGAATGGCTCCGAAGGGCTCATGTATTTGAATAACTGGTTCACATTTGGTAGAACTGTTTTGGAAGATTAGGAAGTGTGGCCTTGTTGGAGGATGGGCTTCGAGATTTCAAATGCCCATGACAGGTCCATTCTCTCTCTTCCCACCACCTCTCCAACTTGCAGATCAAGATATAACCTCTTAGCTACATCTACAGCATAATGCCAGCCTGTCTGTTGCCATGCGACCCACCATGATGATCATTGACCCACCCTCTGAAACTGTAAGCAAGCCCCCAATTAAACTCTTTTATAAGTTGCCCTAGTCATGATGTCTCTTCCTAGTAATTGAAAAGTAACTAAGACAAGTTGTTCCCATTTCCTAGACATTGTGAACAGAGCAGCAATAAACATGGCTGAGTATCTGTGGAGTAGGATGTTGAGTCCTTTGGGCATACACTGAGGAGTGGTAAACCTGAGTCATATGGTAGATTTATTTTTAGCCTTTTGAGGGTTCTCCACACTGATTTCCAGACTGTTTGAACTAGATTTATGAGGTCTCACTTATCAGATGTTGACCTCAATTCCCGGGCAAATGGGGTCCTATTTAAAACGTCCTTTCCTACACTTTTATCATGTATGGCACAGCTTACATTTTCTTCTAGTGGTTTCAGTGTTTCAGGTCCCACATTTAGGTCTTTGGTCCATTTGGAGTTAGTTTTTATGCAAAGTGATGGGTACAGGTCTAATATCATTCTTCTACAAGTGGACATTCAGTTTTTCCAGTATCGTTTGTTAAAGATGCTGTCTTTTCTCCAGCATATATTGTTGGCACCTTTGTCAAAGAATAGATGGCTAATGTTATCTATCCCCATGTTTAGATCTTGACTTTGTTCTATCGGCATACATGTTCTTTTTGTGCCAGTATCATATTGCTTTTATTCCTTTGGCTTTGTGATCTATTTTGAGGTCTGAAATAGTAATTCCTATAGCATTTCTCTTTTTGCTCAGGCTCATTTTGGCTATACTGAGTTGTGGCTCCATATGAATTTTAGAGTAGTTTTTTTTTCTGATTCTATGAATAATTAATGGGGATTTTGACTGGGATAACATTGAATCTATAAATGGATTTTGGTAGAACAGTCATTTTTAAAATATTAATTCTACCAATTCATGATCATAGGTTACCTTTCCATTTTCTATTGTTTTTCTCTTTTTCTTTGTTCAGACATTGAAAGTTTCCCATTGTAGAGGTCTATGACCTCCTTTGTTAGGTTTATTCCTAGATATCCTACAGAAACTCTTAAGGCTTGTTTTTTGGAAGTTTTTATTTGTCATGACTGGGGCATTCCCATAACTGCTATGTTAGTAAAGAAAAAGACACAGTGAAGTGTGTGTAGTTCAAGGACCCCAAACCAGAATTGCAGCACATCCTTCCTCTGAGAGGTCTAACTGCTGTGGTGGTCTTCACAGCTTTGCTTTTCTGGACATGAAGTTCATGAGTGCATTTGAGGATTCTTCTGATGTCAGCCTTTCCTGGATCACAGCACACTCTTCAGCATTAACAGCATGGAGCTTTTGTTTCTCATTTTTTCTCATTAGCTCTTTGGAAATTTTCATCGCCTGATGAAATGAAACCAAGAACAAAAGTTATTCAAACAGGAATAATGTTACACTATTCTTGTTTGTTTGTTTCTTTGAGGCAGGGTCTCACTATTATGGCCTTGGCTGGTCTGGGACACACTGTATAGACCAGGCTGGCCCCAAACTCATAGATATCCACCTTCCTCTGCTTCTTGAGTGCTGGGATAAAAGGAGTACACCACTATTCCTGGCTATTTCTATTTTAAAAAAAAATTTATTTGCACGCATATGTGCTTTGTCAGCTTGTGTGGCTATGTACCATGTGCATGCAGTGCTACAGTGGCCAGAAGAAGGTGCTGGATCCCCTGGGGACTGCGGTTACAGAGGGTGAGCCACTACGTGGGTGCGAGAAATTAAACCTGGGTTTGTTGGAATAGCAGCAAGTGCTCTTGGCTGCTGAGCGGTGTCTCCAGCCCTCAAGATATACTCTACTATTGACTTCCTCTCCTTTAATGAACTGCTCCTGTTAAATCTTTCTAAGACGTGTATAATAGGACACAGTACTCCCCAACCCTGAATGTGCAGGGATCAATATAGTGAGTGTGGGGCAGGTCTGTTCCTGTACATTTCCAAACAGCCCTAGATGGACACAAAGCTTCTGGTTCCAGGATCACACACTCATCAGCAAGGATGGAAGAGCAATACATACACAAATGGAAGTGCTAGAGAGTGAGGATCCTAAATATAGCCAACCTCCTCACCTCCCACCTGAATTCCAAAGTCAAAGAGCTGGGTGTCTACTGGCATCCTCCTGGAGTCACCCCCAGGAAGGATCTCCTATTTGCCCTGTAGCACAGAAATGCAATGTCTATCTGCTAAGTTCTTTGTAAAAAAAATTACTATTCCCAACATTATAGTAACTTTTAATACAAAATCCAGAGGTGCTCAAAGCAACTGAACACATGTCTTGTCTTTTTAGGATGTGTCCTCCTAAGGCACATTTCCCCCTTGGGAAATGATTTCCATGTCCCCACAAGTGAAAAACAAATACTAACGTTTGGCGGGAGCTTCACATATGCTTTCAGCCTGGTCCAGACTTCGTTCTCAAAGGTGCTTTCCGGAAAAACTTCAGTGACAAGGCCTTGAGCCCAAGCCTCTCTTGCTGAGAGCTTCTTCCCAAAGAGAAGCATCTCAGTTGCCTGCAATGCAAAGCAAGATGTGACCCTAGCTTAATAAAGCAAGGCTTCAGTTGACTTCAGGACAGTCAGCCTCGGGGAGACACAGATGCACTCATGGCTCTTAAGGTTGCCTGTCTTTCACAGAACAGGGAAGCTGATGGCCTTGCTGGGCAAGGGTTTTCAAACAGCTGAGGCCATAACTGGTTCTGTCTCATGAGGGGCTGGAAGGCCAGCTGCTATTGTGAGGGTCTGCGTTGGAGAGGCAAGAATGGGAATCCCAGGGCAGAAATGACTTGAACCCCTGGTAACTGTGGTTTCCTGTTTGTATGTAAATGATAACAAGGTGGGGGTGGCACCGAAAAACTATGGCCATAGGGTCAACCTTTTGAAACATTCAAAATTTCCTTGTCTGTCTGGTTGTCCTAGTGCCGAGCTCTGAGTGTCTTCCTTTTCTGCACAGATACTCAAGTTACTTTCGTGTGACTGAAGGGACACAGGAAGGACTTATATTGCATTTCTATAAAAACCGAGGGTAATGAGCAAATGTTTGCTCTACCCTTGCAATTTCTCTTTTAGAAAAGTAAATACATTCCAAACAATCGCAGTCTGAAGAGCGGGTTCTGCTCAACTTTTCAGAGCTTAACTGATTAATAGGTTGGGCTCTGTGACGACAGTGTGATGAGGTTAAGGAAGTGTATGTTGGTGCTGGAGACATAACTCAGCCATTAACAGCAGTGGCTGTTCTTGAAAAGGATCCAGGTTAGACTCCTAGAACCCATATGGTGGCTCACACCATACCAAATTCTAGTTCCAGGAGATCCAATATTGTCTTCTAGCCTCTGTGCGCCATGCATGAAGCAGTGCACAGACATATACATAGGCAAAGCACTCATATACATAAAATTAAAAATAAATCTTAAAATGTAATGTATGGATATACATTATACATGTGTGCACATGGGGGGCATTTACAAAAAAAAATCTAATAGTCAGCAAGGCAGTATTTCCCCCCATACACTTGGAGAGGGCAACCAATGCCTGCTAAGCCCTTCCTCAGTCCCCCGTCTCCAGTCTTGTCCCAGTGTCCTTAGAGCCACTCCAAGGTTTGCACAAATACAGAGCTAAACCGGAGCAGCCCATGGGCCACCTTGGGAGTCTCAGCACATGGCAGAACAACTGGTAAAAGTCAGCTCTGATTGGGAGTCACAGGGACTACGACTTCATGGGGCTGCTAAGAGCCAGCAACTTCTGGCACTTCACATGGCCCCAAAGAGAGGATGTCGTCACCATGTCATGTCAGAGGATGCTGCTCATTCACACAGTTAGGTGGCTCTGAGCTGATCACATCTGTAAAGGCTTCCTAGTCTTGGGCCTTCAAGGAATGTCACACAGCTGTGGAGGACAAGGTCTTGTGCTGCCACCAGTGCTCCAGCTCTAGGCCACCAGGTGTCAGACTCTGTCCCTGCATTAGGAACTGCAGAGAAAATATCCTGACCCCTGCCTTACATCAGCTCTCCCCTTAGTTGGGTTCCTTCATGTTGCTGAGCAAATAGTCACCCTGCAAGCTTTGCCCAAGGGAAAGAAGACAGAGTACATGATTGCCTTGGCAACAAAGATGACAGACACACTACACTTTAAGTTTTTTCTGAGTTACCTTTGCTGAGCCCATTATCTTTGGAAAAGTGTAGGAGGAGCATGCTTCTGGGCTCTGGCCGAGGTGGCTGAATGGAGTATGAAATGTTGCCTGGTTGGGATTGGGGGAGAAAAGAAAAGCATTTTTCAGTTACTATTTTAACTTTATAATTCTCTCTCTCTCTCTCTCTTTCTCTCTCTCTCTCTCTCTTGGTGTGTGTGTTTCAGATAGTCTTGCTATGTAGCTCAGGCTGGCCTAGATCTCACTATTCCTACCTTAGCCTCTCAAGTACTAAAATTACAGGTATATATTACTATGCCCATCTCACTGTTCTTTTTTTTACCCTTCATTTTATTTTTATTTATGTTCACGGCTGTTTTGCCTGCATGTACTTCTGTGCACCACATATGTGCAGTGACCATGGAGGCAAAAGGTGTCATATTCCCTGTGACTGGAGTTATAGATAGTTGTGAGGCACCATGTGAGTGTTAAGGATCGAACCTAGATCCTCTAGAAGAACAGCCAATGCTCTTATCTGTGGTAGTTCACTATTGTGAATGAAGATATTTAAACTAATATTTGTGTTATTCTCTCTCTATATATATATACAATTCACTTATAGTGTGTTATCAATGGATTATTTAAAAGAGAAAATTATATAGCCATCATCAACTCCAATACATATCTACGATCCTCAAAGTTCCCTTATGGTCCCTGTGGGCAATCCCTTCCTTCTATCATCCCCATGCATCACTATCTGCTCTCTGCCCCTGGTGTCTTGCCTCTTTTAGAACATCACACACATGGAATCCTAGATACAATGCTGCTCCCCATCACTTAGTGTCAGGTTTGGGAGTCAACCGTGCACTGCATACTGGTAGCACCTTTGTTGTATTGTTTATGTTGCTGTGTGGTTGTGTCATCATTTTTTTAAATCTACATGCACTGTTTCCATTGTTGTGGTTATTATCAGTAGGTTCAGTCAAGAACCATAGACCTGCTTGACATAGTACATACAATTTCCACTTGTCAATAATACCTCAATGAAGCCGAAAAATTAATCTTTCTCGGTTAAGTCTATCAAAGAAGTAGTTGTGAATGTTTGTGTACACTTTCAATTCTCATGGGTAACTACCTCTGAGTGGAATCACTGGTTGTGAGAAAAGTATATGTTTATCTTAAAGAAGATGCTGACCTCTTCCCCAGAGGGTCTGCGACATCAACATCCCACATTGAGGTTGGAGAGCACCTCCTGCTCCATGTCCTTGTTAAGCGTCACCAGAAGTCCTTGTAGCCTAATCCACACACTACATGCATGGTAGTACCTTATGTTTTCCGTTTATATGTCTTTTATGAATAATAATGTTGAGAATCTTTCTGCATACTTAATAGCCATGGGCATATCATCTTTGGTGAAGTCACTGCTAACATGTTTCCCGTTATTTTTAAAGTTAAATTATTTGCCTTATTTTTGAATTGTAAGAATTCTTTATGGACAAGATTACAGTGAATATCATGCAAAGAATGTTTACTGGTCAATGTCTGTGGCTTATCTTTACTTTTAAATAAAAATAAAGGGTCTTGTAACGTAGCACAGGCTGGCCTCAATCTTAAAGCAGATCTCTTGCCTCAGCCTCCCAGAAGAGTTCTGGGATTACATGCATGAGCCATCATAACCTGCTACCCTTTTTTTCTGTGTATGGAAGGCCAGTTGTGAGGAAGGGTGTAGGAAGGGGTCTCGTGTAGCTCAGGGTGGACTTCAATGTGCTATGTAGCCGAAGATGACCAACTCCTGACCTCCCTCTATCCTCTCTACTTCCTAAGTGCTAGGATTACTCCCACATATCATTATACCCACATCGCCATCCATTTCAAATGTATTACATCTATCTATCATCTAGCAATCAATCAATCAATCAATCTCTCTCTCTCTCTCTCTCTCTCTCTCTCTCTCTCTCTCTCCCCTCTGTGTGTGTGTGTGTGTGTGTGTGTGTGTGTGTGTGTGTGTGTGTGTATGAAGGCCAGAGGACGGTTTGTTGGAGTTGGTTCTCTCCTTCACTCAGGTTTTGAACTTAGGCCATCATCATACTCAGCGACAAATGCCTTGCTTGATAAGTTGTCTTGCCCGCTCCTCAGAGCTCACTCTCTCTCTCTCTCTCTCTCTCTCTCTCTCTCTCTCTTTCTCTCTCTCTTTAATACTCTCTCTCTCATGGTTTGAAGAGCCATTATGTTTCATTTCTTGTGTGTTATTTATTTCTCCTCACTGCCAGTTTTTACACTAGATTCTTGATCAATTGCTTTATAAATATGTTCATTTTTTCTATACTTAAGAAAAAAATTTTATGAGACAGGGTCTTATTCTATAACTCAGATAGGCTGGCCTTGAACTCATGATAATCTTCCTACCTCAGCTTTCCAAGTGCTGGGATTATAGGTATAAACCAACACACTCATCTATTTATATATGCTTTGATGAATAATAAATATTTACAAAGAGAATCACTGATATAAGTAGACAAATGCTTAATTTCCAATAGTAAGACATAGTAGTTATTTTGAAGCATATTTGTGAGAATATATGATATATGCTGCATACAAATAAAAACATAAAATACTCTCATTAATGTCACATTTCTTTTCACCCCAGAGACCTTGGACAAGAAAACGTCCTTTAAGAATATAATCAGTCAACGTAGCTTCAAGAATATAATCAGAAAAGCAGCCACAATTAAGGAACTATAAACAGGTACATACGAACTTGGCAGGGAGCAGTTATTACATTGCTCGTTTCCAGAGATGGAATGGTGGATGCAGTTAAGGGCTGAGGGTCTAGCAGTGGAGTGCTTAAAGGCTTTGGGACAGTCCCTTACCCTCCCTATGACAGTTTCCTCTATCTGTAAACCTAGTATGACCTCATAGGGCTGCTGTGTGTATTGTGTGAAATGTGTATATGTATAATGTGTATTAACAGAGTAGCCAGCACACTGTTAGCATGCAAACATTTATTTGAACAAATTTAAAATTCACATGGAAACGGTGCATTTGCTGGCAAGAGATGCTACTAGCATTTTTAGTCGCTAGTATTTAAGACCGGTATCCATCACAGACCACAGCATAGTGATGGGTATTTTAATAGGGTTGAATGTGAGCCCCTTGTTCAATATAGTATTTGTTTATGAAGTCAATAAAAACCAAGGGAATCTCTTCAGTGGCTCACCAGGAAACTTTGGCACTTCCTAAGGAGAAGACACCAGAATAACCTGCTACTGGTCTGTAATTCTGGGGTAATCCCTAAGATAACTGTCATCACATCTGTGTTTACAATAACAAAACTCAGAAACAGCCTAGGGTTTCAGCAGCCAGGGACTGGTGAGATTTGCTAAGTTATAGAAACCAAATGCTGGCATTGGTTTCCATCTGAGTGATTTTTTTCCCCAAATAATAAATTTCACAATATGTATTTACAGCTAGACATGTTACTATGAGATACATATAGTCAAACAGTTGCTTTAACTTAACTCACATAGTCATACCCCAGCCAGGGGCAGCTATAATACATCTACTCAGTTGGCAAACTTTCTGGATGTAGCCCACTATTATTAACTATAATCTACATACTGTACATTAGATCCTTTAGCCCTATGTATCTGCTACATAACCCTTCAGTCACATTACCCCCTTCCTTCCTCCTTTCCTCCCTCCCTCCCTCCCTCCCTCCCTCCCTCCCTCCCTCCCTCCCTCCTTCCCTCCTGATGTTGCTGGGGAACCAATGCAGAGACTTGCTCACATTAGGTAATAAATGCTCCATTACTGATCACAACCTTACTCTCAGTTTTTTAAACTTAAATCTTCTTCTTTGTATTTTGCATCTGATCAAATTATTTCATTTTTGGCCACCACAGAGAGACAGTGCAGTAAGAATAAAAATTAAAAGTATTAAATACAGTGGTGAACACAAGTCTGAACTGTGTTGTGGACTCAGGACTGCTCGAGGCTTTAGCTTTCTAGTATGCAATGGAGGGAGGGTAGTGAATGATCACAGTCCCTTCTCATTTTCGAAGCCTAAATACTAGACTTCCTGAACTAAGAAAAGAGGATCAAGCAACCTCCACAGAGGTTACCACCTCTCCTTCAAGTTTTCAATCATGTCCTGAACATTTGGAGGTAATGTTGAAAATAAAAATTGAATAAATATTAAACTCTGGTTAAAATACAGAACCAGCAGAGTTGGAGTAATGTTTACAATAATATATGTGTTTAAGAAAATCAATGAACAATCAAGGAAAAACATAATCTGTCAAGTGAGACTAAGTCTTTATGAACGATCTAAATTACTGCATCCTACCACTGTCTTGGCTTGCTTTCTGTTGCTGTGATAAGACACTGACCAGAAGCCACATGGAGAGAAGGGATTGCTTGGCTTACAGGTTACAGTCCATTCTTGAGGGAAGCCAAGGCAGGCACCACGGCGGAACAGTGCTTACTGGCTGGCTCACTGTGACTTGCCGGGCCTGCTTTCTAATACAACCCAGATTTGATGGGTGGCACCATCTATAGCAGTCTGAGACCTCCCACTTCAATCCTTAATCAAGAAAATATTCTGTAGACAAGCCCACAGGACAATCCGATGGAGGCAATTCCCCAGTTGAGTTTCCCTCTTTCCACGTGACTCCAATTTGTGTCAAGTTGATAAAAACTAACCAGCACAACCATTAACTCATTAGCCCATAATATGTTCAGTTCTAGTCACTATAAAGGAGAACCACAGGAGCTTACTGGTTAGCCGAGAATAGACTTACCTTGTCAGATGCATAGACAGCATCAAATAGTCCCAGAAGAGTGACAGCAATTCCCACAGCTGGGCCATTTACTACTGCAACCAGAGGCTTAGGGAACTCTATAAAACAGCTTACAAATTCCCTACAGAAATGGAAATAGGAAAGCATTACATATTTCAAAGTAGCACTACCTGACCATAGAAAGGATTATATAAATTAAAGCTGATGTCACCCTAAAGGGTCACCTTCCCAGACTAAACCAAGGTCCTTGTATATGGGGCCTAATGGAAGGTCAGACCAGGACTCCTACAAGCTGAGCCTGATTCACACTCTTTTCTGAGCAGTGAGTTCAGGAGTGGGCCATCTGTGACCTGAGAGACCATGGTGGGGGACTATGTGCGTGACTGCATATTACAGCACAGGGGGACTGAGAGACTCAGCAGAACTGGGATAGGAAGCCGAAGCCTCAAACCTCCTTCAGCACCTTTCAAGACTGCTTCCCGCATACAGCCAGCACTCACAGGCACTGTCCATTCACCCCGCTGCACAAGAACTCAGATTCCCTCTGCCTCTTTCTCACCTCACACTTTCCAGTCAACCTCATGTAGACGGCAGGAGGAAGAGGGGGATCTGACCGGGAATCACAAGTAAGCACATCAGCACAGACAAGTGGGCATTTTACTGATGTGTTAAGAATGAACCCTCTTGGGAGAATGAGGAAATGACTCATCATTTAAAACATCTGCCAATCAAGTATGAGAACTGGAGTGACGTTGGGATCCCCAGAACCCACACAAGTGCTGGATGGGTGTGGAGGCCTGCTTGTAATTCTGGCCTGAGAAGGTGGAGGTAGGAACCTAGAGCAAGCTGGCTAGCAAGACTAGCCATGTGAGTGAGCTCTGTATTTTGAGAGAATGTGTCTAAATAAATAGGAAAAGCAATCAAAGATGATTGCGATGTCTACCTAGGACTCAACATCCATATGCATATACATACCCACAAACACCTGGGCCTACACACATGCAAAACATGTATACTAAAAAGCACACCATGAACACATAGGGAAAGTGGAGAAAAAAAGAATGAATCCATTGGGATCAGACACATGTCACTCTTACCTCAGTGCCATAGCACTCTTTATAGCTGCCTCCTGTATTTCACCGGTGGCATTAATCAAGTTAGTGAGGTCATTCCCGCTGCAGTAGTAGTCGCCAGTTCCTGCGAACAGTCAATCAAGAGCCATGGTCCCTCCGTGTATCTACTCATTCCAGGGTTGCTGTGTATCTGCTGTGTGCAGGGCTCAGCCAGGCACTAGTAGAAGACTAGGGAGCCTCATTTGCACACTAGGGACTAGCAAGAACATAACTAAATACAGATGGTGTGACTACAACATGACAGGTGGACATGTGGTCTGACTACAGAACAGGGTTGGTCTATTGGGGTGTTCAGAGTGGAGCTCACTCAGGAAGGGACAGCTGGACTGAGAGCTGAAGAGCAGGCAAGACTAGCAGAGACACAACAGGACAGATGAGGTTCTGTGTCTGAGGTCTCCAGGGTCTATACAACTGTAAGACTATAAGAAGAGCCCCCAGGGCTGAAGCAAAGAAAAAACAGGGTGCAGGGGGAGCTGGTATAGTCAAGATGAGAAGCCAGACTGTGTGGGGCTGTCTAGATTACAATATGAGCCACTGTCTCTACGTTAAGAGCCACTGAAGGTGTGTGTTTATTAAAGTATAGTTTGCCTACAATGAAACCATTACTTCTTAATAAGTTTTGTTTTGAGACAGGATCTGAAGTAGTCCAGGTTGACCTCAAAACTCTCCATGTAGCTGAGGATGACCCTGGGCTGCTGATTTCCTGCCCCTACCCATTGACTGTCAGTATTGAAGTTCTGTGTCACAGTGCCCATGCTGGGGATCAAACCCAGGACTTCCTGCATGATAGGCAAGCACTCTATCTCAGGCTACTTCCCTAGCATCCTTAAATAGTTTTGATAACTGTAAATACAGGAGTGATCCCAGGCCAAAAGAAGACACAGTGTTTCCCCCCTTATGCTCAGGGAACACATTCCAAGATGGTCCAAAAATCCCTGAAACATGGGGACAATATGTATTGTGTTTTCTCCTTTCCAGTTGATCCTCCATACCCTGAGGTTTTACATCTGTGGATTCAACCAACAGAAAATATTTGAGGAAAAAAATCATCTGTACTGAATATTCACAGGCTTTTCCCTTCATGACTGTTCATTCCTAAACAATGTAATGAATACTGACATAGCATCACTCTGTGTTAGACATAATAAGACACACAGAGGGGATTCAAGATCTTTGGGATGTGTGGGCCTTCTATGCAAGTAGCACATGATTTTACATAGGGAACATGAGTGTGAAAAGTTCTATATTGATGGGAGTCATGGAACTAATTCCCAGAAGATGCTGAGAGTGACTGTATGTACATACCCATGACTAAGTTCAATATATAGATTAGGTAAGGTATTTACAGTAACAAACTTTAATAACAACATTGTACTATATAAGAGTTATTTAAAATATACTGTTATTTTTCTAGACACTTCTACTTATTTCTAGACCAAGGGTGATGACATGTAACATAAAGTTCGGGGGGCAAAACCACAGGAAGGAGCATTCAGTTATGAGGGGCTATGGCACTGACACCTCAGAATGTTCCAGATGCTCTTTCTACCCTGCCATTCCAGCTGGCCTAATGAAGTTACTTTCAGACTCCATCAACAGAGTAGGACTTCTGTCCAATACTGTAGAACTCATGAGTTGGACCAAACATCATGTACTCTTATTTTATTGATTTTGCTGAATCTTGTTTTAAAGACTCCTCTACATGCTTGTGTGTATCAGACTTTTATTTCTTTTCATTGTTGAGCAGAATCTGTGGATAGACAAAAGCTTTCTATTCATCCATTTTTGGACTCCTGAGTTGTTTTCTGCCCTGACTCTTGTGACAGACACATAAACTTTACTGTACCAGTCAGGTTGGGACATACGACTGATCATGAATCATTATTAAAGAATATTTGTCTTATGTCCATGATATTATGGTATATTTATAAATTAGTCCACTGCATACTGGAAAAGACCTTCAAGCATTATCACTCAATTCCCTATATACTAAGAGATTCTCTAAACAGAAATTACATCTGAGAAAGTCTTACCTGTGAAAACAGTTATGGCTGAGTTATCGGTGCTGGCATTTTTAAGTGCAAGCATAATCTCTTGATACATCTATGTGAATGAAAGGGCAGGTTAAAAAAAAAAAGCAATGAAAATGAGATCCACCATCCAGGGGAATGGGCTACTGTATCAGTTTGAAAGACTCCTCTCAACACAGTGCTAAGCATTCTATAAAGATTATATATTGATACCAAAAAAGAAGCTGCCTGAGAGGATTTCTGCTCCTCTAACAACCGCTGGATGCACATGATGTACAGGTGCTGTGGCAGATGCACCAAATAGCCACTGTGTCCAAAAGCGAACAAGAGAGACACAGACCTGGAGCCATGCAACTGGACAGTTACTGTGCCCAACAGGGATGGGGTTGGGGAAGGGGAGAGGTAGTACACAAATTGCAGGAACTGTTGAGGTTGCTGCAGCAGGTGAGAGGGAAGGTGGCTGAGAAAACTGTCCCTGAAACAGCATTTCAGCTGGGGCTTCAAGGAAGGAGAAGTGTCCTGGGCAGTCTGGGAAGCAATAACTAACAGAGGCTGGATTTCCGAGACTCTGTGCTGGGATCCAAGGGCACTGGCCCTTGCTGTAGTTTTAGTGTGTTTTCAAAATTGGTTTAGATTTTACTTTAATAAGATTCAATGTGGGTTAGAGTTATGAGGAGGGTGGGTATTTCTAAAGACACTGGAAAAATAGAAGCATGTACTTAATACATGAATAATGATGTGACTGTTTCCCTCAAGGCAGGGGACAGGAAATAATTCCTGAGAATTACAGCAAGAGAGACATGGCAGCCAGGTGACTAGCTAGAGACAGGGCCAGGAGAGAGATGGGTCAATTTAGATTATCCTGCTTATCAGCTATAAGAACTTACCAAGTTACTTCTCAACTTTCTCTACTCTTTTGTTAAATAATGGTGATAAGGTCCTTGCAAACAAATATAAATCTGTGCAGGAGGTCCCCCTAATGGGAGATAAACCTCCCCAAAGTGTCTTCATGTTGCTGCCTTCTGTGCTTTTCTATGCGTGTGAACCATAATTGTGTACAAGAAGTGGGGGAAGAAGAGAAAATTTCATACAAAAAGAGGGAGTAGAGAGGGGAAAGGAGGGGAGGGGAGGGGAAGGGGAGAGGGGAGGGGAGGGGAAGGGGAGGGGGGAGGGGAGGGGAGGGAGAAGGGGAGGGGAGGGATCTTCAGCAGAGCAAAAATAGCCCTATTTTAATGAACTGCTTCACAGGGCAATTTGAAATTTCTGCTTGAACTACACTGATAATAAGTTAATCACTTGAGCCCCTCCCCCTGGTTACAGGGATTTATCAGATGCTTGGAGGTGAACTGGGGATCAAGGCTGCCATCTGCAGTGTGGGACAGCATGCTCATTTGGAGCCTTAAGAATCTTGTGAAGTTGTTCATGTGCTTTCCAATGGATAAGGCACCTAATTCTGAGAACTTCCTGCATGTTTGCCCTGAGACACTTCTGTGTAGGCAGGGTAGTTATAGCTACACACTACAATATGTAAGACTCAGGACTTCCTGCACAGAGATTTATATTTGTTTGCAAGGACCTTATCACCATTATTTAACAAAAGAGTAGAGAAAGTTGAGAAGTAACTTGGTAAGTTCTTACAGCTGATAAGCAGGATAATCTAAATTGACCCATCTCTCTCCTGGCCCTGGCTCTGGCTAGTCACCTTAGCTGCTGTGTCTCCCTTTGCTGTAATTCTCAGGAATTATTTCCTGTCCCCTGCCTTGAGGGGAACAATCACATCATTTTTCACGTATTAAGTACATGCTTCTATTTTTCCAGTGTCTTTAGAAATACCCACCCTCTTCATAACTAACCCACATTGAATCTTATTAAAGTAAAATCTAAACCAATTTTGAAAACACATTAAAACTACAGCAAGATTTTCAGAAATGTTCAGGGCCAGTGCCCTTGGATCCCAGCACAGAGTCTCAGAAATCCAGCCTCTGTGTTAGTTATGGCTTCCCAGACTGTGCATCTTCTATCAATGCTCTTTCATTTAGACTGATTTAACTCTTTTCTGCTTCCATTCATAGCAAAGCTTCATAGTCTTCTGGATATGTAGAATCTACTGGAAACTCTCAAGTTCTAAACAATTCCCAGCTCCACTGAGTTAAGCAAACACTTTAATCCCCTTCCACAAAAATAGGAATAAGGCCGAAATTCTACAGTTGCATAAGTGAAAGAAATAGAAGAAAGAAAAATGTGTCCGTGTCCTGGGCAGCAGCATCACCTGTAAAGTTATGGCATTCTTTTTGGTGGGTCGATTGAACACAATCTTCATGATGCCATCTTCAGAGGTCACCACAATGTCCTTAGACACCTGGACTTTCTCATCGGCTCCACACTTGCCCTGGCTAGAAGCTTCAGATGAGGGACTCAGACTGGACACCAGATCCACATGGCTCTGCCTGGCAGTTTCCTGTAGATGACAAGACCTCTGGCTTTTAAAATAAGTAATTTGAGAAACATACTATGCTAATAAATACCACTTAGCAATAAAGAACAGAGCCTTTGATTCAATAGAGGTACATCACGACTTTAAAGATCATGGGACAGGTGACCCATATGTGTAATTCCAGCCACTGGGAGGCTGAGGCATGATTGTGGTGAGTACAGTGCCAATCTTGGCAACAATAATGAGAAAAAAAACTTCAAAAAACTAGATAGCCATTCACCGAGAATCTAAGCCTATTGTCTTCTTGTCAGTAACAATAAGCAAGTTTACCTTCCATCTGTCCTGCTTGGCATTATTGTCAACATCAAACAGAACTGGTTTAGGCATATTACAGGGTCTTTCTGTGGCCTGTAAAGAGCACAGGGATGATTAATATGCAATATGCCAGAGAAAGCTTTTGAGAGGGTGGCTCTAAAATCCTGAGTTCAATAATTTTGAATTTGTTATCACACTTTTCACAGGAAGTGAAAACATTGAGCCAATTTTCAAAAGTCACAGAACATTTGGAAGTCCACACCATATTCTAAAGTCCCTTCTATGGGGACAGAACCAGAATTTTAGTGATAAACTTCTGGAAACTACTCAAAGGGCTGTGTAGCTGGTGTTGGCAGGGATGGGGTCTTCAGTTCCTAGTTTCCAGGAAGTTCATCTGAGGGTCATGCCAGTAAATAGAAAACTAATTTTGTTTGAGGGTAGGTGGAATGGGTATCCTGAGATGAATAAAATACCCTACACAGCTCCTTTTCTAAAGTGATTTTTAAGCATTTTAAAAATTTTAAATTTTGTAATAGAGTGACTTAGGAAAGGACAGAGAGCTTGAACATCACAGGCAGTGGAGCCTCTGACTCATACACACAAAGTCACTCAATGGAGTCAGTCATCTGGGAAGTTACAGGGAAGCCAGTCCACAGTGTTGTCCCTCTCTTCCAACTGCTCTCACTTCTGACACTGATTGCAAGGCACGGCATGAGAGTGCTGGGGGAGGGTGTTCTGGAGCCTCACTTCAGTAACCCATTAGAAAGACTCATGGCACCCCTGCAAGCTGTGGTATTCATGCTTATAATTCCTCACAGGGGAAGAACACAAAATAAATAAGCCAAGGGCAAAAAAAGCTCAAAGGATAGTTCAGAGCAGCAGCCAAAGTGACACTTTTGTTCTGTCCAGAAGAGTTAGGAAAGAGATTGCCCCAGAGTGATGGGTACATGATAGTATGCACAGAGTCTTGCCAGCAAAGAAGCTCTCTACCGGTTCAGTGTCCAGTTTTTGCCAGGACACTTTTTTTTTTTTTTTTTTTTTTAACAGAAAACAATGTATTTGAACAAAGGAAAGACAATTTTCAAATTCTTCATTAAACTTTTTCTAAATTTAAGCCAATAAAATTCTCCTAATATTATACTTTTGCAATTTGTGAAAGATACTCTAAAATTTATTTTGACGATTAAGTTTCAATCAATATTTCAAATTGTAATAGAGACTGATCAAAGGCATAATGCCTCTTTCAGATATTAATAACAATGAGGGAACGGGTCATAGACGAACTACTGAAATTAGTGATGGAAAAAAAGGAACTCAGTGGGACAGGGGACAACTCAGAGTATAGTCTCCAGTATATTTGGTAAATTTATGTTGATAAAGTACAAAACTTAGAGATGGCTCAGTGAGTAAGAGCACTGACTGCTCTCCTAGAGGACCTGGGTTCAATTCCCAACAACCACATAGCAGCTCACGCCTGTCTGTAACTCCAGTTCCAAGATTTCTGACACCCTCACACAGACATGCAAATCACCAATGAACATTAAATAAAAATAAAAAAAAAAAAAAAAAAAAAAAAAAAAAAAAAAAAAAGGGGCTGGAGAGATGGCTCAGAGGTTAAGAGCACTGACTGCTCTTCTAGAGGTCCTGAGTTCAATTCCCGGCAACCACATGGTGGTTCACAACCATCTGTAATGAGACCTGGTGCCCTCTTCTGGCCTGCAGGCATACATGCAGACAGAACACTGTATACATAATAAATAAATCTTTAAAAAAAAAAAAAGAAAAAAAAAAAAAAAAGAAAGCTAAGCCTCATCAGGGAAGGGCCAGCCCAGGCTGTAGGGCAGGATGCGGGGTTCCCAGGACACTTTTTTTTTTAAGTTTTTTTTTTTCCATTTTACATACCAACCACAGTTCCCCCTTCCTCCCCTTCTCCAGCTTCCCCCTTCTCCCCCACCCCTAACCCCTATCCACTCCTCAGAGAGGGTAAGGCCTCCCATGGAGAGTCAAGGAAGTCTTTGCCAGGACTCGTAACATACAGGCAAACCTGCCTAACCTTAGGCCACCTGTGATGATATATTGTGTTCCCCAAAATATTGTGCACCCTAATAAAGTTTATCTGAAGATCAGAGAAAAAACCCAGCCACTATAGTAAACATAGAGGTCAGGCAATGGTAGCACATGCCTTTAATCCTATCACTCAGGAGGCAGAGATCCATCTGGATCTCTGTGAGTTCAAGGCCACACTGGGAACAGAGCCAGTCATGGTGGCACATGCCTTAAATTCCAACACTAGTTAATCATAAAGGTCTGGAGGTCTGTACAGACAGAGAGGAAGTGATGTAGCTGGGCAGAGAGAGGAAATGAGATGGCAGAACAGAAAGGCATATAGGCATGGGTATAAAGGAAGTAGCTCTTTTTGGAGAATGAGGTGTCGGTCAGGTAAGGTTGTCTGTGGTTTGTCCTATTTCTCTGATCTCTCAGTTTTTCACCCCAATACCTGGCTCTGGGTTTTTCTTAATAAGACCATTTAAGATTCATGCTACAGCTACCTTGTACCCGAAACCAACTGCTAGACAATCCAGGCAAACAAAGATACAGGACAAGCATGACAGGTCACAGGGTTAGGAATACCTCTCAACAGCTGAGGGCAAAGGCTTTTTGGACAACTAAAATTCTTCATTGTACATACTCATGACAAATCATCTAGAAGATAATGAAACAATAACAGTAGTTCAGAGCAGTAGCTACACCAAGGATGTCTTTACCACTAAAATTTAAAAGCTTATCAGTATCATTATAAGAGTTTCCAAACATTCATAAAAGGATGAGTTACAATAGGCAATCTAATTGAACACTTATTAAAATTTATATCATATACTTTACCTATTTTCTTTCTTTTGTGCTTATTACAAGAAATCTAAAACATCCCACACACCACTCTAATTTCACCCTGAATATTTACTATGCATTTCTCAAAGCACATTTTATTATGTAACCAATGACACCATTAACAATAACCAGGACCTCACTAGATAATAGTTGCTAAAACTCAGTCCAGATTCAGATTCCCCCAGTTTCCCAAAATATCCTTTCTGTGGATTTATTCAAATCGGAGGGAATCAAACAAGGACCAAACATCTGACTGTTATATCTTTTACATCTCTTTATTAGGAGAGATGCTCAGGGCTACTCTGTGCCTTAATGGTATTTCAAGGCCTAATCTTAATATAAAAAGCAAAACAAAACAAAGCCTGCATACAAGTACCCAAAGCCTGCAGACATGCACCCAAAGCCTGCAGACATGCACCCAAAGCATGCATACATGCACCCAAAAGCAGTCAACCATGCAACCCATTCAAGCTACATGTTAAAAGGAGCTCAAAAATTTTAAAGCTATTTTTATTTTTGAGTGTTTTGTCTGTATGTGTATGCACCAGGGGCCTGCCTGTCTTGTGCCCACAGAGGTCTGGAACTGGAGTTAGAGATGGTTGTGGAAGGAGATGTGGCTGCTGAGAGCCAAGCCTGGATCCTCTGAGGGGAGCAGCAAGTGCTCTGAACAGCTGAGCGGTCTCTCTAGCCCACTCAAAATGTCTGTAAGCAACATTAGATCTCAGGGTGGCACGGCTCAGACAGTGCATACATAGAGTTTTAGTTTCGCTTAGTCTCCTTCCAGAGCTTCACTTGGTTCATGGCATTTTCAAAGTCCCACTGACTGGCTTTCATCGTTGGTCTGCCCAGGTGCACCTGAGCCACTGGGAACCTAAAGAGTTTGAGACTGCAAACAGTGGTTTCTTTTTGTTCCTAGCCCTTCATTGAAGCAGGATTGCTGATTTGCCCCAAACTCTACAAAGCAAAATGCCATGTTTATCTCTATTTCCTTCTGCTGTCTCAACAAGCTAGCTTCAATTGTTTTCTGAATAAAATCTGTCTACAGATTTTTTTTTCCCCCTCCGAAAAAGAGAAATCTGACAAGGGCCATTTTCCAAGGAAAAAAGAAAGGAAAATTTCAAATGTTCAGAAAAGGCTCTTGTAAGCAACTTCCCACTGACTGATAAACACTTATTCAAATGAAGGTAGGTTCTGCCTTTTGAGGAAGTCACTCAAGCCACCGCATTACTGCAAGCACCAGGTTCCAGGCTTTCCTCCAGATGCGCGGGTTCTTTGGGCTGTTACATGTGGCTCCCTCTCTCCTGCCACTTCTCTCAGTATAGCGAACCGATTGTTTGAAACCCACGCTGCTGATAACGGGCTGCGAGTGTGCGGCGGCGCTCAACTAACTAGCACTCTTGGATGTAGTGTCGCCTTAGCCAAAGCACTCAGCGCCCTAGGAAGTTCCGGGCTGGGCCTGCAGGCATGGGCGCCGCCGGGACCAGAGCTCACGTCTCATCCAGGCTTGCCAGGCGGCCTGTGCACGTCCATCCTTACCCTTCCGGATACGCGAGGTCACTCTTTAGAGCTCTCGTGCTGGGACACCGCCAAAGGAGTATCCTGCTGTCCTGCTAGCCAGACCAGGTGACAGAGTGGACGGCTCCGCGGGCGGGCGACAAACCCCGCTGGCAACTTTGGGCCAGAAGCTGAGGCTGCAAGCTTACCTAGGACACCAGCACCGCGCCGGTCTCCAGGTCACGGAAGCTAAGGCCAGCATTGAGGGAACACTGAGCCCTGACGCTTAAGAAAGGCTGGAACCGGTGGGAGGGGCTGGGCAGGGGCGGATTCTGTAAGTGAAGCTAAGGGCTCAGGGAACAGAGCAAGGCGGAGCCAGTAGTTGAGGTCTGGGCTCAGATGGGGTTGGAGGCGTGGTCTGAGTTGGGTAAGAGCAGGTTTCTGGGATGGGTGCTCCGCTGAGGGTAAAGAAGCAGGGCATAGAGAGTGGAGGCAGGCGTATGGCTCTGGCCAAGGAGGACAGGGCGCTTTGAGCAGGGAAGGGCCTAAGGGTGTAGGATAGAGTGGCCGAGATCTTGGAACTGGGTTCACAGAACAGGCCCTAGGGAATTAGATGCAGAAGGTAGGGTGCTGGGCTTTGGCGAACGAGGCAGAGAACCTGGTGCTAGGCAGAGAGGGGAGGGCGCTGGGCGCAGAGGGTGCTGGGCGCAGAGGGTGCTGGGCTTGCTGGCAGGGTTCTAGGTGCACGGGGCAGAGGGCAGGGAGCTGGCCCCACCGAACCCAGGGCAATGGTTCAGTGAGGGAATGCTACATGGGAGATGAGGCCTCTTAGGGTTCCTTCTAGATCGGTTCAATGCTGGAGGACAGTTGCCTTGTGAGGGAAAAACACTTCTCTAGGCTGCCAGAGAAACTCAGAGAGAGTGAGGAATGATTCTGACAGCATTGCCCAACCAACAGCTAAAGCTAGAAATCCGAAAGAGGCCGGAATCCCCTCTGTCTCCCTGCTGGCTCCCCTCTGTGGATCTGTTGTCCTTCCATAGCTGTTTCCTGGCTTTATCTCCCCTCCCCCACCCCAGTCAGCCCTTCAGGTCTGACTGTTTCTGCACTGCTCCTACTTGGTGGCTTTTGGTTGTAGAAACATAAAATGGACCAAGACACTGACACGACTCACAGCATTCTCTTGATCCTTCCTCTGTCACTGGAATTTGTGTGGGTCCCTTTGCCTAATAAGTAAACCACACCCCTTAGTGTAACACATTAGACCTTTGAGATTGGCCCATAATGTCTAATCATCTCTCATGCTTGCCCTTCCATTTCATTCATTCACTCACTCATTTATTCATTGTTAGCTTTTTTGAGATAGTCTCACTATGTATCCCAGGCTGGTCTCAAACATGCAGTGATCCTCCCCCCTCTGCCTCTTGAGTACTAGGATTATAGGCTTGCTCCATGGTGTTCAGCTCTTTGTTTTTTATTTAAAAACTTTCTTTTGAGGCAAAAATCTCACAATAAGGGCCTTTGTTGACCTTGTGCTGATCCTCCTGTCTCAACCTTGGATTACAGGTAGCCATCCCTGCCTGTTCTTTCCATTTGGAAATGGGGTGCTCAGCCTCTCTGGGTCTTGTCTGCCCATGCTTTCTCAGTCCAGACACTGTCTTGTGTGAGAAATCTGGGCCCCTCATTGGCTCCAGTCTCCTCCTGTGATCCTATCTCTCCAGAGCTGGCTAGTTGATCTCAGACTAGCAATTTGTTCGGCCCTCACCTGCCCTGTATTAAATGCCATTTCCCGTCTCCGAGCTCCCTGCTTGACAGGAAACACTGTGGCTGTTTGTTGAACGTAAGTGGACTGCTGACAGTAACTGTCTAGCCTGTGTGTCCCACGTGTGATGACAACGTGGGGGTCAGCTGCCACCTTTTCAGTAAGCTGTCAGATGTCGGTAACTGGCTTGACTCTATGCTTACAGGTATTTCTTTTCCGTGAGTCACAGCTCAAGCAAAGCTCCAGGGAAAGTAGTACCAAGGAAACTGTGATATTCACCTGTGTGATTGCAGGGGGAGGTACCTATTATGACTTGATTCGTCACCGAGGATTTTTTGTCCTCTTCCTCTCCCTCATGTTTCCTGCTTCAGTTTCAGGATGCTGCTTGAGATGAATTAAACCTGTGTAACTATGACAGAACAGACTGGAGCTATGCTTCTATCTCTTTTCAACCCTCCTTCATCTTTAATCTTCATGTTGTTGTTGTTTTGAGACAAGATCTCATGTATCTCAGGCTTAGTTCAAAGTTTCTGCTTAGCTGAGGATGACCTTGAACTTCTGATCACTCTTCCTCCATCTCCAAGTGCTGGATTATATGCAACAAGGGGTTCGAATCTAGGGTTTCATGCTCCATAGGCAAGCATTCTACAAGCCAAACCACTTCCCCAGATACCTTTCCCACTATTATTTATTTACTTATTTATTTATTTGCTTATTTATTTATTTGCTTATTTATTTATTTGCTTATTTATTTATTTGCTTATTTATTTATTTGCTTATTTATTTATTTATTTATTTATTTATTTATTTATTTATTTATTTATTTATTTATTTAATTGTGTAGCCCAGGGTGACCTAAAAGTCATCTTCCTGTCTTGGAATCACTGGAACTGGAATTGCAGGTGTACACCAAGCCAAGCCTGTCCCCTCCTCTCCCCTGCCCTCTCCTCCCCCTCTCCTTACACTTCCCACCTTCCTTCAAGTCAGGCTCCTGCCATGTAGCCCAGCTTGGGTTCTAAATAAGGATCAGTCTTTCTGGGATTGCAGGTGTAGACAATATGCTTTTCTTTTGCTTCATCTTTTAACAACCTGCCCCCCTCCACAGGGTGTTCTAAGTCTAAGGAGGGACCTTGGTAATGATCCCTTCCTTTCTCATCCCATATGGATTCAGCTGCAAAAAATGAATGTGGTCTCTAACACTAGTAGCCAGAGGTCAAGGACTGATTGATTTTTATGAGGAAGAAAACAGAGATGAGAGTTATTGAAAGGGATACCCCCCCTGCCCCCTGTTGTGGAAGGTCTCTTGACCATTGGCTTACTGTAGCCCCTATGTGCCCCATAATCCTCCTTCATGCCCTTAAGCCCCTGAAGGTGGAGATCTGAGGCAGGGAAGACTCTGCTGTTTTCCTCAGGGCCTGTCACTGGCAGCAGGAATGAACCTGATGCAGCTAGCTGGGTAGCCTGACAGTCATCCTCAAGGATGCAGGGGTGCTCATCTACTTGAGGGACAGAGGAACTCCTTCAGGACTCAGGGGCCTCTACTCAAGAGACAGAAGAGTGTCCCCCAGACTCATTGGCAGGATGAGTGAGAATGAAGCAGCTAGTGAGTTTATTGATGAAGCAGAAAGACAAGAAGACTTGAATGGAGTCAAGAGCCTCCATCAGGAGAGGGATGTCTGTTTGTACCTCAGCAGTAACTGTGTGTGACCCCGGGGCTGTGAGGCCAATAAGCTGTAACCGAGTTTAGATGTCAGGGACAGTGTGTGTCGCTGTAATCCTTGTCTTATCTACAGCATTCTGCCCTTGAAGAAGAGACTGTTTTGAAGGTGCTCTGTGCGTGATGGAAGCTTGAGAAGGGTGTGCTAGTAAAGAGAAAATGTTGATCTGTGGGGTCCTTACTAACACCTAGATCACAAGGAGGGTGGACTAAGGCTTAGGTCATCAGCCTTGTTAAACAGTCTTGTTTGAGATGCCCTGGGCAAGGCCAGCACAGCTCCTTTTCCAGGTGTGGAGCTCATTCTGTAGAAGCTCCAGGGTGTCAGTCAGTGAGATGGAAAGTAGAACCAGCAGCGTGAAAGGAGGCTTCCAGAGGCTTCCCTTTCTCAGTCTTCTGTTTCCTAACTACCTGTCCTGCCTTAGGCCACCAGGAAGAAATCTGTTTCCTTCTGATTCTGTCTGTCTCCCTGGTTTTCAGGACAGCAGCCAGCAGCCCAGAACCTGAAATTCCAGTAATAGGGTTACTAGGCATTCTTTACAGAATCAGCTTGCTTTCTCGTTGTCTCTACTTTTTTTTTTTTTTTTTTTTCTGGTTAGGCTGTGCATCCAAGTCTCACATCACCGCACCGGTTCATTCAAAGATGCTAAAAATAACATGCTGAATCTGCCCACTTCTGGGATCCTCTCTTATTTCAAATTCTCAAATGTTTATAGTTTAGAAAAGAAAGACATTTCAGAAATAAACATTTGCTCCATTTGCCTACTTCTGCCTAAATTCCACACAGATGCATGATCTACTCACCCAAGGCTCTTTCACTCGTTTTTTTTGGTGTGTGTGTGTGTATGTGTGTGTGTGTTGCATGAGTATTAGCCCAACTTAGGCTCTGTGATTACCCTCAACTACTTTCCTGGAGCAAAGAAATAGCCCTCAGGTATTTCTCTCTGAAAAAAAAAATCACAATTGTTTGTCATTACTGTGTAAGAAATAGCTGGTTTTTTCCCCCTAAACCTCTATTCATATTTTTTTGCATTTATCCAAAGTTTAATCTGTAGTCTGCCCCAAAGTATAATTAAAACGAGAGTAATCACTACACTGTAGTCAGCCTAGGAGAGCCACAAGGACAATCATATATATTAAGCACAGTGTTATATAATTTACTCTCATTCAAGGGATAAGAAGGATGGTAAAAGGCACCATGGGTAGCAAAAGCAGGTGGGATCTCCATGTATAAGCAAGGGTGACCTGGCCACCCTCCTCCTGTGCTAAACAGACCTAAACTGAAAATTCACCCACAGGGACCCATGCTGTCAATACCAGCAATCAGGAGGCCAGTGCACAAGGATTTTGAGTTGGAGGCTAGCTGTATTACATAGTAAGTTCCAGGCTAGCCTGGGCTGCATAATAAGATCCTCCCAGCCTCAAAATTTTTGTTTATAGATCAGATGAAGTTTTAAAAATTGTAAAAGAGGCATTTTTTTGGTAATTCAGTAAAGGCATGGTAATTCCTTATTACTTATGAGTTCTGCATTCATGAATTTTTCTACTTTGTGACATTTATTCTAACATATAATCTCCCAAATCCATAATCACAGTGCTTTAATGGCTATTTAAAAAATGCCCAAGAAAATTTGACTCATGGGAACCGTACATTCACCTTAAAGTCTATGTAAATGTAAATATAAATGTAAATGTAAAGGTACAGGTAAGCAAAGGCTCAAAGGAAACTGCCTTGTATTTCCCCAAGGAACAGTGTTTCAATACAGTTGTAACTCAGGGGATAGGCTCCAGGACCCCTTACAAAAACTGAAATCCGAAGATGCTCAAGCCCTTCATATAGAGTGGCATAGCATTTCCCAAAAT